CTTGTGTTACGCAGCATGTTTGAGCTTCTGGAAGAACCATTGAGGTTCATTCTCGTGTTACGCAGCACGTTTGAGCTTCTGCAAGAACCAATGAGGTTTATTCTCGTGTTACGCAGAACGTTTGAGCTTCTGCAAGAACCAATGAGGTTCATTCTCGTGTTACGCAGCACGTTTGAGCTTCTGCAAGAACCAATGAGGTTCATTCTCGTGTTACGCAGCACGTTTGAGCTTCTGCAAGAACCAATTAGGTTCATTCTCGTGTTACGCAGCACGTTTGAGCTTCTGCAAGAACCAATGAGGTTCATTCTTGTGTTACGCTGCACGTTTGAGCTTCACCGAGAACCAATGAGGTTCATTCTCGTGTTACGCTGCACGTTTGAGCTTCTGCAAGAACCAATTAGGTTCATTCTCGTGTTACGCAGCACGTTTGAGCTTCTGCAAGAACCAATGAGGTTCATTCTCGTGTTACGCAGCACGTTTGACCTTCTGCAAGAACCAATGAGGTTCATTCTCGTGTTACGCTGCACGTTTGAGCTTCTGCAAGAACCAATTAGGTTCATTCTCGTGTTACGCAGCACGTTTGAGCTTCTGCAAGAACCAATGAGGTTCATTCTCGTGTTACGCAGCACGTTTGACCTTCTGCAAGAACTAATGAGGTTCATTCTTGTGTTACGCAGCACGTTTGAGCTTGTGCAAGAACCAATGTGGGTTCATTCTTGTGTTACGCAGCACGTTTGAGCTTCTGCAAGAACCAATGAGGTTCATTCTTGTGTTACGCTGCACGTTTGAGCTTCACCGAGAACCAATGAGGTTCATTCTCGTGTTACGCAGCACGTTTGAGCTTCTGCAAGAACTAATGAGGTTCATTCTTGTGTTACGCAGCACGTTTGAGCTTCTGCAAGAACCAATGTGGGTTCATTCTTGTGTTACGCAGCACGTTTGAGCTTCTGCAAGAACCAATTAGGTTCATTCTCCTTTTACGCAGCACGTTTGAGCTTCTGCAAGAACCAATGAGGTTCATTCTTGTGTTACGCAGCACGTTTGAGCTTCTGCAAGAACCAATGAGGTTCATTCTTGTGTTACGCAGCACGTTTGAGCTTCTGGAAGAACCAATGAGGTTCATTCTCGTGTTACGCAGCACGTTTGAGCTTCTGCAAGAACCAATGAGGTTCATTGTGTTACGCAGCACGTTTGAGCTTCTGCAAGAACCAATGAGGTTCATTCTTGTGTTACGCTGCACGTTTGAGCTTCACCGAGAACCAATGAGGTTCATTCTCGTTACGCAGCACGTTTGAGCTTCTGCAAGAACCAATGAGGTTCATTCGTGTTACGCAGCACGTTTGAGCCTCTGCAAGAACCAATGAGGTTCATTCTTGTGTTACGCAGCACGTTTGAGCTTCTGCAAGAACCAATGAGGTTCATTCTTGTGCTACGCAGCACGTTTGAGCTTCTGCAAGAACCAATGAGGTTCATTCTTGTGTTACGCTGCACGTTTGAGCTTCACCAAGAACCAATGAGGTTCATTCTTGTGTTACGCAGCACGTTTGAGCTTCTGCAAGAACCAATGAGGTTCATTCTCGTGTTACGCAGCACGTTTGAGCTTCTGTAAGAACCAATTAGGTTCATTCTCGTGTTACGCAGCACGTTTGAGCTTCTGCAAGAACCAATTAGGTTCATTCTCGTGTTACGCAGCACGTTTGAGCTTCTGGAAGAACCAATGAAGTTCATTCTCGTGTTACGCAGCACGTTTGAGCTTCTGCAAGAACCAATGAGGTTCATTCTCGTGTTACGCAGCACGTTTGAGCTTCTGGAAGAACCAATGAAGTTCATTCTCGTGTTACGCAGCACGTTTGAGCTTCAGCAAGAACCAATGAGGTTCATTGTTGTGTTACGCAGCACGTTTGAGCTTCTGCAAGAACCAATTAGGTTCATTCTCGTGTTACGCAGCACGTTTGAGCTTCTGGAAGAACCAATGAAGTTCATTCTCGTGTTACGCAGCACGTTTGAGCTTCAGCAAGAACCAATGAGGTTCATTGTTGTGTTACGCAGCACGTTTGAGCTTCAGCAAGAACCAATGAGGTTCATTGTTGTGTTACGCAGCACGTTTGAGCTTCTGCAAGAACCAATGAGGTTCATTCTTGTGTTACGCAGCACGTTTGAGCTTCTGCAAGAACCAATGAGGTTCATTGTTGTGTTACGCAGCACGTTTGAGCTTCTGCAAGAACCAATGAGGTTCATTCTTGTGTTACGCAGCACGTTTGAGCTTCTGCAAGAACCAATGAGGTTCATTCTCGTGTTACGCAGCACGTTTGAGCTTCTGCAAGAACCAATGAGGTTCATTCTTGTGTTACGCTGCACGTTTGAGCTTCACCAAGAACCAATGAGGTTCATTCTCGTGTTACGCAGCACGTTTGAGCTTCTGCAAGAACCAATGAGGTTCATTCTTGTGTTACGCAGCACGTTTGAGCTTCTGCAAGAACCAATGAGGTTCATTCTCGTGTTACGCAGCACGTTTGAGCTTCTGCAAGAACCAATGAGGTTCATTCTTGTGTTACGCAGCACGTTTGAGCTTCTGCAAGAACCAATGAGGTTCATTCTTGTGTTACGCAGCACGTTTGAGCTTCTGGAAGAACCAATGAGGTTCATTCTCATGTTACGCAGCACGTTTGAGCTTCTGTAAGAACCAATGATGTTCATTCTTGTGTTACGCAGCACGTTTGAGCTTCTGCAAGAACCAATGAGGTTCATTCTCGTGTTACGCAGCACGTTTGAGCTTCTGGAAGAACCAATGAGGTTCATTCTCATGTTACGCAGCACGTTTGAGCTTCTGCAAGAACCAATGAGGTTCATTATGTTACGCAGCACGTTTGAGCTTCTGCAAGAACCAATGAGGTTCATTCTTGTGTTACGCAGCACGTTTGAGCTTCTGGAAGAACCAATGAGGTTCATTCTTGTGTTACGCAGCACGTTTGTGCTTCTGGAAGAACCAATGAGGTTCATTCTCATGTTACGCAGCACGTTTGAGCTTCTGCAAGAACCAATGAGGTTCATTCTCGTGTTACGCAGCACATTTTTAGCTTCACCGAGAAACAATGAGGTTCATTCTCGTGTTACGCAGCACGTTTGAGCTTCTGCAAGAACCAATGAGGTTCATTCTCGTGTTACGCAGCACGTTTGAGCTTCTGCAAGAACCAATGAGGTTCATTCTCGTGTTACGCAGCACGTTTGAGCTTCAGCAAGAGGTTTGTTCTTGCGCATCAAGCAGATTCGGTTAAGCTTCTGTTTATGTTCACTGACCAATGTTTATATGTGAATAAAAGCCTAAATTCAATCGGTTCATCATATAAAGTCATAAAGTTTCTTTAGAAAATTTGGACTAAAACGCTCAATTCATATGGATTAGTTTTACGATCTCTTTATGAACTTTTTGAAGCGTCAAAATTTTCAGTTGTGTAGCTGTCAGTGGAAAAACAGAAATCTCTCAGATTTCATCACAAAGATCTGCCGCGTGCGCGTGTCCGTTAAGTCCATGAGACCTTAGGGTGTCCCATTTCTCATTTTAGGTGTCGCAAGCACCCCCTTTGCGTTCGATATGTGCCCTCAATGCGCACTTTTCCAAGCTATGCAGCAGACCTCGCTCTTCCTGACAGTCAAAGCAGCGTTACGTCACAAAAGTGCGGACTCTTAGGAAGACCACGAGTGATTAGGGTGCCATGTGGGACAGGACCTATATCATGTCAACAACTTAATATGTGTGACTATTATGCTTAGATCAGACATAATTCATCCAATTGTTATAACTATTGAAGGGTTGATTAAAAGTGAGATGAGAGTAGTTAGATAGTAAGTAAACAAGACATACTTTTCTTTCAGCGAAATTTTTTTTTTTTAAATTAAGTAGAAGAGAGTCTCGTTTTCTAAGTTAAGTTTTGCCGCAAAGCCCGCCTCAAACTTCAACTTCAAACAGAGATTAATTTGCCAACACACAAGAACGTGATTGGCCTCCCAAGACGTAACTCCAGACACAACGCAGCAGCGAATCAACAAACCTGGGAATACCCCTCTCCAGCAAGGACCACATAAGGGAATCCTCATCAAAGACAAACACAACTGCAAGTAGCTGAACTGGATCATTGATATAAAATTCAAAAACCCTGCCTAAAAAAACGATAGAAGTGTTAAATTAATGATTGATGGTTCGTGCAGGTCATGTCTTATAAAGTGCATACTTTCACTTATACGCTACAGGTATGTAACTAAAGGTCATGAATACATGATAATGGGTAAAACTTCAACAAACATTGATATTATACAAGTAAACCAAATGTATGTATAGACTAAATATATATGGTGACACTTTAGATAAGATCAACTTTTGCCTCAAACTCCTAATAACTGCTTGTATATAAAATTGTAAACTACCATGGATAATACTTTCTTATGAAAGATTTTTAAGAGGTTTATATTTTTATTCAGCAAGGATGCATTAAAAATTGTATCAAAAGTGACAGTAAAGACATTTAAAATGTTATAAAATATTTATATTTCAAATAAATGCTGTGCGTTTGAACTTTCTGTTTATCAAATGATTCTGAAAACAAATATATCGTGCTTGAACAGTTTTCAACATTAATAATAAAAAGAAATGTTACTTGAACACCAAATGAGCATATTGAAGTGAAGACTGGAGTAACGGCTGCTGAAAATTCAGCTTTTTCATCACAGAAAAAAACAAACAAACAGAAAACAGTTGTTTTCAATTGTAATAATATTATAGCTTTACTGCATTTTTCATCAAATAAATGCAGCCTTTGATGCTTTTTTCAAAAACATTTAAAAATCTTATGAACACCAAACTTTTGAACGCGAGTCTATAAATACAAATATTATTTGTGATTTTGGAAATTAATTACAAAAACTGAATTTTCAGTACCAGTATATAGATATATAGATTTTAAAAAAAAAATGTATAAGAGGTGAGCTGGCTATATCTGGGCCGGATACTCAATGCTTGTTAAAAGACGTATTAGTTTTAAACATACCTTGTTTCTTGAGGGAAGCCCATCCTGTAGAGAGTGACCACCACCGCTCCACCAAGACCGATGTTGTGCTGCAGGGCGACCTTTGCCCCGGGGACCTGCCGAGGCCCCGCCTCCCCCCTCAGCTGCCAGCACAGCTCCGCACACTGAGCCAGACCTGAGCCGTGAAAACAGGCCAGAGTTCATCCACCGCACACTCACATGCTAATAAGCATGCTAACACACACCCTAACATTTTTTTTTTAGATACAGATACTTGAAATAAATGATAGGTAACATAATCTTTACTGCAAGTCTCCTCTGTATAACTCCGTTTTCAGGTTTCACATTATTCATAATGTGGCACAATTCTCAAAACTGAGAGCTCAGTACAAATGAAGTGATAAACTCTGACAAAATGTGATTGTGTTATAATAGTGATTTTTGAAAATTCTGTCATTAATCACTCACCCTCATGTCGTTGCAAACCTGTAAGACTTTCGTTCATGTTTGGAACACAAATTTTATTTAATATTTATTTGTTTTATTTGATTCAAAGATTTTTTTGATGAAAGCTTAGAGCTTTCTGTCCCTCCATTGACAGCTACACAACTGAAACAGAAAATTGATCAACTCACAGTTGTGGTAAACCAACGGAAGCTCAAGCATGTTCGCTTGATGAGCGAGAACCAATGAGGTTCATTCTCATGTTACGCTGCACGTTTGAGCTTCAGCAAGAACCAATGAGGTTCATTCTCGTGTTACGCAGCACGTTTGAGCTTCATCAAGAACCAATGAGGTTCATTCTCGTGTTACGACAAAATTACAATTATAACCAGCAGAGGTCAGTAGAGGACCACTCATTGGCTCATTTTCATTTTTAAAAGTGTTTGTTTCCAACAGTAATCTCCAATAAAACAAGGCAATTGTTCCATGTTAACTCCATTAAGCATGCTGAGACACACACACAAACACAATGTTATTGGGATATATTGTGAAAATAACTTTCAATGGTCTAGAAGCATTTCACATATTTCTTTGTGAGCTAATTATATAATAATAATAATAAATATAGCTGCAAGCAGCCATTACCGGGGCCAAGCGCAAGAAGCGGCAACAGATGCCCTCATGGGTGGGAGTGGCAGACCAATTGCAGCAAGGAGCAATTAAAGACATTTTAAGATAATTTTGGGCAAATGGCTAAAAAATCATATATACAGTAACTTTTAAGATGATTTAATGGATTATCACTTTCGACCAATAGGTGGCGCAGTTACGAAATCGATGTGATGTGGTCAGAGTGAGGTGACAATGACACATACAAAGTTTGGTGTCAAAATGTGAAGGCATTGCAGAGATAAAGACTTAATAGTCATTTTGGCAGCATGCCTCAACTTTGCTGCTGCGGTATACGAAAACGGTTGCCTCTATCGTCACGAAATCCATAACTTTTAGTCGGCACGGTATGGAGATGACACGATTCGATTTTGGTGAAAATCGGACGAATGGTCTAGGAGAAGTTCGAAAAAGAAGGTTTTGAAAGTAAATAAAGATGGCGGACAGGAAGTTCGTCCAAATACGTCAAACTTGGTATCTATGTTCTCGGCATGACCCAAGGAATCTATTAAGACCAGTGTCATTACAATAAGCACATTTTTAAAAAAGTTATTAGCATTTTTGGAAATGTAATTTTAACTTTTGACCAACAGGTGGCGCTGTCTTGAAATCTTTTGAGTACCTTCAAGGCAAGGTGCTGGTAACAAATTCTGAGTTTCGTAATGTTACAGCAATGTGTTCATTAAGTATAGCATTTCACATCACAAAACTGCATTGAAATCAATGGGATTTTCATGTTTTGTTCTCTTATAGCGCCACCAAGAGGCAAAATCCCACAATTTTTTTCATGTGTTCTCAGAGTGAGCCTCTACATCTGTGTGTCAATTTTGGTGAAGATATCTCGATTAACTTCAGAGTTATAGACATTTATGTGAAAAAACACGTAAAAAATGACCGCTACGTGACTTTGATTGAATTTTACGACCCCTTACTATCAATATTTTGGCATTTGGGCATTGGCGTATAGCTATCGACCTATGTTTCCAATTTTCTGACGGTGGTTTCGTCTCGATCGGACTAACGGTTTCGAAGATATCGGCAAATGTTTTTTAAGCGCTAAATCACAACGCTACACAAACCGTAAGTCGAAACCTAGCATATTTGGTATCTCTGGACTCGGCAACGATTCAGGACCTCAACGAGATGACTCCCGTGAAAATAAGTCAACCACAGCCAGAGTTATAAGCATTTGAAAAATAAATTTTACCACTAGGTGGCGCTGTTTCGAAACTTCTCAGGCTCCTTCAGGGCATCGTACTGATGACCCATACCGAGTTTCGTAACAATTCGTTCATGCGTTCAAAAAATACAGCATTTTAGCACATAATTCAAAATGGCCGACAGCCAAAATGGCCGATCTGGGAAAATTGGATATCAGTCGACTCGGCATGACGCCCTGAATCTAAAGAGACCACTTTTATGATTTTTGGACAAACCGTTCAGAAGTTATGAGCGAAAATAGCCGTTTTTCATATCTCCGGACCAGTAGGTGGCGCTGCGCCGAAACGCAGCATGTAGCCTCAGGCCATGCTTGTGATGACATGTACCAAGTTTGGTCTGAATACAATTAAGCGTTGCGGAGATACAGCCTTACGTCTGTTTTTGCAAGCGCTACGTAAAATTAATTTGCGCGTTTATCGAAAACCGTTTAGCGAATCAACTTGAATTCCATAACTTTTTGTCGGCACTGCCTGGGGATGATCTGGTGCAATTTTGGTGAGAATCGGACAAACCGTCTAGGACGAGTTCGCAAAAGTAGGTTTTTTAAACAATTCAAAATGGCGGCCATATTTTTATGACGGAAAATGACGTCATAGGGTGGGATCGAATCGTCATGAGCTCACGAATCAGAGGAAAAAAGAATTTTGTTGATAGGCCTTACAGTTCAAAAGTTATTAGCATAATGATTTTGAAATTTTGGACAGGTGGTGGCGCTAGAGGCAATGAGTTAGAGACACCAAAATTGGTGCAATTGCTGTTGGGACTGTCCTCTATCAGAATGTCAAACCGGAACAACTTTCCCGGATACGGTTCTATGGGCTGCCATAGACGCCCAGTCGGAAGAAGAAGAAGAAGAAGAAGAAGAAGAAGTATAACAAGCAGCCATTACCGGGGCCAAGCGCAAGAAGCGGCAACAGATGCCCTCATGGGTGGGAGTGGCAGACCAATTGCAGCAAGGAGCAATTAAAGACATTTTAAGATAATTTTGGGCAAATGGCTAAAAAATCATATATACAGTAACTTTTAAGATGATTTAATGGATTATCACTTTCGACCAATAGGTGGCGCAGTTACGAAATCGATGTGATGTGGTCAGAGTGAGGTGACAATGACACATACAAAGTTTGGTGTCAAAATGTGAAGGCATTGCAGAGATAAAGACTTAATAGTCATTTTGGCAGCATGCCTCAACTTTGCTGCTGCGGTATACGAAAACGGTTTCCTCTATCGTCACGAAATCCATAACTTTTAGTCGGCACGGTATGGAGATGACACGATTCGATTTTGGTGAAAATCGGACGAATGGTCTAGGAGAAGTTCGAAAAAGAAGGTTCTGAAAGTAAATAAAGATGGCGGACAGGAAGTTCGTCCAAATACGTCAAACTTGGTATCTATGTTCTCGGCATGACCCAAGGAATCTATTAAGACCAGTGTCATTACAATAAGCACATTTTTAAAAAAGTTATTAGCATTTTTGGAAATGTAATTTTAACTTTTGACCAACAGGTGGCGCTGTCTTGAAATCTTTTGAGTACCTTCAAGGCAAGGTGCTGGTAACAAATTCTGAGTTTCGTAATGTTACAGCAATGTGTTCATTAAGTATAGCATTTCACATCACAAAACTGCATTGAAATCAATGGGATTTTCATGTTTTGTTCTATTATAGCGCCACCAAGAGGCAAAATCCCACAATTTTTTTCATGTGTTCTCAGAGTGAGCCTCTACATCTGTGTGTCAATTTTGGTGAAGATATCTCGATTAACTTCAGAGTTATAGACATTTATGTGAAAAAACACGTAAAAAATGACCGCTACGTGACTTTGATTGAATTTTACGACCCCTTACTATCAATATTTGGGCATTTGGGCATTGGCGTATAGCTATCGACCTATGTTTCCAATTTTCTGACGGTGGTTTCGTCTCGATCGGACTAACGGTTTCGAAGATATCGGCAAATGTTTTTTAAGCGCTAAATCACAACGCTACACAAACCGTAAGTCGAAACCTAGCATATTAGGTATCTCTGGACTCGGCAACGATTCAGGACCTCAACGAGATGACTCCCGTGAAAATAAGTCAACCACAGCCAGAGTTATAAGCATTTGAAAAATAAATTTTACCACTAGGTGGCGCTGTTTCGAAACTTCTCAGGCTCCTTCAGGGCATCGTACTGATGACCCATACCGAGTTTCGTAACAATTCGTTCATGCGTTCAAAAAATACAGCATTTTAGCACATAATTCAAAATGGCCGACAGCCAAAATGGCCGATCTGGGAAAATTGGATATCAGTCGACTCGGCATGACGCCCTGAATCTAAAGAGACCACTTTTATGATTTTTGGACAAACCGTTCAGAAGTTATGAGCGAAAATAGCCGTTTTTCATATCTCCGGACCAGTAGGTGGTGCTGCGCCGAAACGCAGCATGTAGCCTCAGGCCATGCTTGTGATGACATGTACCAAGTTTGGTCTGAATACAATTAAGCGTTGCGGAGATACAGCCTTACGTCTGTTTTTGCAAGCGCTACGTAAAATTAATTTGCGCGTTTATCGAAAACCGTTTAGCGAATCAACTTGAATTCCATAACTTTTTGTCGGCACTGCCTGGGGATGATCTGGTGCAATTTTGGTGAGAATCGGACAAACCGTCTAGGACGAGTTCGCAAAAGTAGGTTTTTTAAACAATTCAAAATGGCGGCCATATTTTTATGACGGAAAATGACGTCATAGGGTGGGATCGAATCGTCATGAGCTCAGGAATCAGAGAAAAAAAGAATTTTGTTGATAGGCCTTACAGTTCAAAAGTTATTAGCATAATGATTTTGAAATTTTGGACAGGTGGTGGCGCTAGAGGCAATGAGTTAGAGACACCAAAATTGGTGCAATTGCTGTTGGGACTGTCCTCTATCAGAATGTCAAACCGGAACAACTTTCCTGGATACGGTTCTATGGGCTGCCATAGACGCCCAGTCGGAAGAAGAAGAAGAAGAAGAAGAAGAAGAAGAAGAAGTATAACAAGCAGCCATTACCGGGGCCAAGCGCAAGAAGCGGCAACAGATGCCCTCATGGGTGGGAGTGGCAGACCAATTGCAGCAAGGAGCAATTAAAGACATTTTAAGATAATTTTGGGCAAATGGCTAAAAAATCATATATACAGTAACTTTTAAGATGATTTAATGGATTATCACTTTCGACCAATAGGTGGCGCAGTTACGAAATCGATGTGATGTGGTCAGAGTGAGGTGACAATGACACATACAAAGTTTGGTGTCAAAATGTGAAGGCATTGCAGAGATAAAGACTTAATAGTCATTTTGGCAGCATGCCTCAACTTTGCTGCTGCGGTATACGAAAACGGTTTCCTCTATCGTCACGAAATCCATAACTTTTAGTCGGCACGGTATGGAGATGACACGATTCGATTTTGGTGAAAATCGGACGAATGGTCTAGGAGAAGTTCGAAAAAGAAGGTTCTGAAAGTAAATAAAGATGGCGGACAGGAAGTTCGTCCAAATACGTCAAACTTGGTATCTATGTTCTCGGCATGACCCAAGGAATCTATTAAGACCAGTGTCATTACAATAAGCACATTTTTAAAAAAGTTATTAGCATTTTTGGAAATGTAATTTTAACTTTTGACCAACAGGTGGCGCTGTCTTGAAATCTTTTGAGTACCTTCAAGGCAAGGTGCTGGTAACAAATTCTGAGTTTCGTAATGTTACAGCAATGTGTTCATTAAGTATAGCATTTCACATCACAAAACTGCATTGAAATCAATGGGATTTTCATGTTTTGTTCTATTATAGCGCCACCAAGAGGCAAAATCCCACAATTTTTTTCATGTGTCCTCAGAGTGAGCCCCTACATCTGTGTGTCAATTTTGGTGAAGATATCTCGATTAACTTCAGAGTTATAGACATTTATGTGAAAAAACACGTAAAAAATGACCGCTACGTGACTTTGATTGAATTTTACGACCCCTTACTATCAATATTTTGGCATTTGGGCATTGGCGTATAGCTATCGACCTATGTTTCCAATTTTCTGACGGTGGTTTCGTCTCGATCGGACTAACGGTTTCGAAGATATCGGCAAATGTTTTTTAAGCGCTAAATCACAACGCTACACAAACCGTAAGTCGAAACCTAGCATATTTGGTATCTCTGGACTCGGCAACGATTCAGGACCTCAACGAGATGACTCCCGTGAAAATAAGTCAACCACAGCCAGAGTTATAAGCATTTGAAAAATAAATTTTACCACTAGGTGGCGCTGTTTCGAAACTTCTCAGGCTCCTTCAGGGCATCGTACTGATGACCCATACCGAGTTTCGTAACAATTCGTTCATGCGTTCAAAAAATACAGCATTTTAGCACATAATTCAAAATGGCCGACAGCCAAAATGGCCGATCTGGGAAAATTGGATATCAGTCGACTCGGCATGACGCCCTGAATCTAAAGAGACCACTTTTATGATTTTTGGACAAACCGTTCAGAAGTTATGAGCGAAAATAGCCGTTTTTCATATCTCCGGACCAGTAGGTGGCGCTGCGCCTAAACGCAGCATGTAGCCTCAGGTCATGCTTGTGATGACATGTACCAAGTTTGGTCTGAATACGATTAAGCGTTGCGGAGATACAGCCTTACGTCTGTTTTCGCAAGCGCTACGTAAAATTAATTTGCGCGTTTATCAAAAACCGTTAAGCGAATCAACTTGAATTCCATAACTTTTTGTCGGCACTGCCTGGGGATGATCTGGTGCAATTTTGGTGAGAATCGGACAAACCGTCTAGGACGAGTTCGCAAAAGTATGTTTTTTAAACAATTCAAAATGGCGGCCATATTTTTATGACGGAAAATGACGTCATAGAGTGGGATCGAATCGTCATGAGCTCACGAATCAGAGGAAAAAAGAATTTTGTTGATAGGCCTTACAGTTCAAAAGTTATTAGCATAATGATTTTGAAATTTTGGACAGGTGGTGGCGCTAGAGGCAATGAGTTAGAGGCACCAAAATTGGTGCAATTACTGTTGGGACTGTCCTCTATCAGAATGTCAAACCGGAACAACTTTCCCGGATACGGTTCTATGGGCTGCCATAGACGCCCAGTCGGAAGAAGAAGAAGAAGAATAATAATAATAAGAACCGGAACAGATACAATAGGTGCCTCCGCACCTTCGGTGCTTGGCCCCTAATAATACAGTGTATATATTACCAGTGCATCGTAAAAAAAAAAAAAAAATGTTTTAAGCATTTATTTATCAGTCAATGCTGGAAACTGAAGATTTATTAGTGGAGATGATCAAAAATGCTGATGGTGGTGGCTGGCAATTTTTTTTTTAAACGCTGACGGGGAAAGAGTTACAGTGCATACTGCCATCTACTGATAAATTGGATCAGAAACTCTCCCCTCATCAGACTCCCTCCTCTTTCCCCGGCCATATCAGAAGCAAAAGCTTATGCTGCCTTCACGTATATCGGAATTATCGTAAAGACTAGTTAAAAAATTTGTCATGAACAAGTCAAAATTTGAATATTATGAGCTAGTAATTCGACTTAGGAAATTGCGGATAGCAGAATCAAAGGTGAGTAACATGGTGAGTAAATGATGTCAAATTGTACATTTTTGGGTAAACTATACCTTTAATGCACCCAGATCTGGCATCAGGTGTGTTTGGTAAACCCTACCTGTAGCTCCAAGTGGGTTTCCTTTTGAGATGAGTCCTCCACTGGGGTTTATCACCCACTTGCCACCATATGTATTATCACCCCGATCAATAAGCTCACCAGCTTTACCTACAAATCACAAACACGCTGCTAATCTAAACTTCTGCTTTTAAAAATACGTGCAAGAAAAGTGTGCTTGTGAAGCCGTCCATCTCACCCTCTGGACACAGTCCCAGAGCTTCATAGGTGATGAGCTCATTGGCAGAGAAGCAGTCATGCAGCTCGATGACATCAACATCTGACGCCTTCAGACCGGACGTCTCAAAGCACTTCTGAGCTGCAAGCTGGGTCATGTCATAGCCAACCTATAGTGGACAGAGGTTCACATTACATTACATTACATTACATTACATTACATTAGAGATAAGGCAAGTCTTCACATGATATCACACCCTTACAGCAACGCCCAGCTGGAGTGCAAAACAAGGCTTTCCTCCATTGTCCGCCAGTTATTTTTACCAGGTTTGTAGTAAGTACTAATGTAGTAAGACAGTGATAGTAAAAGACCAAATTCAATATGCACCTTATTGATAACACACCATATGTACAGGCAACCAGATGAGCCCCAGAATATAAAGACAACAGTTTCTCGCTAAGCATTTTTACATAGAAAACGGTTAACCATTTAGCACATTGCATTAATATTTAATATGTATAAAAAGTATATAGTATGCCTCATCAATAAGGTGTACATTGAATTTGATCTTTTAATATCGCTGTTTTAGTACATTAAGGCACTTTAAGTGTTTTTGTCATCCTCTCCTTGGGTCATTTTGGCCCGAAATTCATTTTCTTTTCACTTCTAAAAATTGAGTGTTCATAGGATTGGTACAAGACCCTGTCACTTTTGTCACACATTAGAGATTGGAATACACAAAATGCACTGGATTCAAATAGTTTTTGTGGTTGTAATACATTTTTTTTTTTAAAAGAGTAACAAATCCTTCCTTCAAGGGTCAATTTGACACCCATAAGAATGAATGGGAAATGGGGGAAATGTTTTATTTTTTTATTTATCAAAATAAATAATCTGGCACAATCCAGAACAAACACACACAAATGAAGGGATGATAAGACCATAGAATATCCCCAATGCATTAGACACTCACATACATATACACACACACACACACACACACACACAACTAGATATTCTCATTAAAATGAAAGGGGGGCATATAAGGGGGCAATTCTTTTCAAATTAAATTCAATCAGTGAATACGGACTACACACAGATAAGAAGTGGTTAGATTCGAACACATTTACAATGCAGAAAAGAATGAAACAATAGAAGCTTTCTGGACGTAAAAATAAAGTTGTACAAGGGACTGACAGGTTGAATAAATGATGACCAAATTTTCATTGCGGGGTAGACTATTCTTTTAAGGAAAAACTTAAAGGTGCTAAATGTGACTTTTCTTCTAAAATGAATCCTTTTTTTATTGCCTGTGTGTGAAGGGGTTGTAATCACACATTACAATGATCCACTTGTTCGGTTTTGCTATTACCTCTGAAGGCCAGTATTCCTATTTCTATGTGAAGTCTCCGGGTCGGATTTTCTGCGAAATCCATCGGATGTGACGTGCATGCGCGCTCCCGAGCCTCTCTCCTTTTTATATACAGTCTATGCGACGGCACTGCAGCTGACGACATGGAGTCTGATAACACCAAAAAACGACCTGCCTCCAGCACAACACACACTCCAACACAAACTCCACAAAAATATAAAAAACAAAACAAAACAAAAATGTATCCGCTATTTTTATTGTGATAAATTACAAGTTTTCAGATATGCTGAAATAATGTTAAACTGTAATGAAATAGCAAGGTAAACTACAACATATATGAGACATGAAATGTACAAAAGACTGTTCCAGGATAACAAAAAGTAGGTGCTTTAGGATGTAACTTTTATTTTATGTAGGCCTAACGTTACTAGATCTAAGTTACCGTCTAACGTCACTCATCCCACTACTATCATATTGTTTATAATACACATTTCCAGACACGTTCAGTACAGTAATGTTACTTCCTACGATCTTACTGTTACACTGAAATTGTTCAGTCTAGTTCACTAACCGTTTTCGTTATCATATTATACACTCACCGGCCACTTTATTAGGTACACCTGTCCAACTGCTCGTTAACACTTAATTTCTAAGCAGCCAATCACATGGCGGCAACTCAGTGCATTTAGGCATGTAGACATGGTCAAGACAATCTCCTGCAGTTAAAACCAAGCATCAGTATGGGGAAGAAAGTTGATTTGAGTGACTTTGAACGTGGCATGATTGTTGGTGCCAGAAGGGCTGGTCTGAGTATTTCAGAAACTGCTAATCTACTGGGATTTTCACGCACAACCATCTCTAGGGTTTACAGAGAATGGTCCGAAAAAGAAAATACATCCAGTGAGCGGCAGTTCTGTGGGCGGAAATGCCTTGTTGATGCCAGAGGTCAGAGGAGAATGGCCAGACTGGTTCGAGCTGATAGAAGGGCAACAGTGACTGAAATAACCACTCGTTACAACCGAGGTATGCAGCAAAGCATTTGTGAAGCCACAACACGCACAACCTTGAGGCGGATGGGCTACAACAGCAGAAGACTCCACCGGGTACCACTCATCTCCACTACAAATAGGAAAAAGAGGCTACAATTTGCAAGAGCTCACCAAAATTGAACAGTTGAAGACTGGAAAAATGTTGCCTGGTCTGATGAGTCTCGATTTCTGTTGAGACATTCAGATGTTAGAGTCAGAATTTGGCGTAAACAGAATGAGAACATGGAACCATCATGCCTTGTTACCACTGTGCAGGCTGGTGGTGGTGGTGTAATGGTGTGGGGGATGTTTTCCTGGCACACTTTAGGCCCCTTAGTGCCAATTGGGCATCGTTTAAATGCCACGGCCTACCTGAGCATTGTTTCTGACCATGTCCATCCCTTTATGGCCACCATGTACCCATCCTCTGATGGCTACTTCCACCATGTCACAAAGCTCTAATCATTTCAAATTGGTTTCTTGAACATGACAATGAGTTCACTGTACTAAAATGGCCTCCACAGTCACCAGATCTCAACCCAATAGAGCATCTTTGGGATGTGGTGGAACGGGAGATTCGCATCATGGATGTGCAGCCGACAAATCTGCGGCAACTGTGTGATGCCATCATGTCAATATGGACCAAACTCCCTGAGGAATGCTTCCAGCACCTTGTTGAATCTATGCCACGAAGAATTGAGGCAGTTCTGAAGGCAAAAGGGGGTCCAACCCGTTACTAGCATGGGGTACCTAATAAAGTGGCCGGTGAGTGTACATTCATCTATGTTGACATTGCTGCCAGATTGTGAAAGACACGAATAGTTAGTGAAATGCCTTATGCTAGATAATACCACATGTCGGCTAAATGCAGTCAATGTAACGTTATCATGGTACGAGCATGGAGCATTAGTTCAACGTCAAGCTGATAAAAGTAGCCTATTATTGTAACCATGCAGTGGGAGTTTACATGAGTTTCCAGCATGTTGTGTGATGCTTTCTCCGGTGTGTTGGAAAGTCCCAGTGTGGCCGTGTACCATGAGTGCTCACTCTTCTGTTCGCGCACGCGCAAGAGCACGCCACTAGCGCTCTTGTAAAGATTGGTTGCAATCTGAAACATCACCGATAGAGGCCGCTAGAAAATACATATAGCACCTTTAAGTCGTGACTTTTAAAGTTTTATTAGTGAAGCTTTAGTTCTATGTTTTGAAGGTCGAGTGCTGCTCAACAAGATGCCAGTATCAGCTACTCTTACCATTTTTATACAGCTGTTTTCCTCAAAGGTAGTGGTGAGGTCTGTGATCATTTCCTGAGCGATGATCTCTACAGCCTTTTTCTCCAGTCCGTTCCTCCTCACAAACCTCTCACTGGCCAGCACTGCAGCTCCTGCTCCGTCTGACGTCGGGCTACGGGAAATAAAAGAGACGATTGAAGGGGTGGATTCTTGAATATGTATATCCTTTTGAGTGGTTTGTAATCAAGTTATTCATTAATATCTACCCTTCTAAATATTAAATGATTTGATTGACTTTTTCAAGCTAATGTTAAAGCATTTACATTACTTTTCATCTTCAATTACTAGAGAATAATGATGAATATGGTCTAAACCTCTTTAAAAAAGTACATCTTATCAGTAGGTTTTGGAAAAGTTTCCTTGAAGAAGCTGTGTATCTGTGCATCACTGTGTGCGTGTACCCTTTTGTTACGGGACCTGATGTTCGTGGGGTGAGCAACTGGCACGCAGGGAGATTAAATTACCTCAGTGGAAATTCAAGTTTATCTATGCCTTAGCCAATCAGAATCATTCAACCTAAAGTAATGACAGATTTTATTGGCCTGTGTTATTGGCCATAATAACATATATGAGCCAGAATAATCAGTGTCATGCAAAAAGATTTACCAGCTTGTCAAAATCCCAGAATTTTTTTTTTTTTAAAGGGGCCATGAACTGAGAAATCAAATTTTCCTTGAACTTTTGTCATAAAAGAGGTCATCGTACTATAAGAACATCCTGTAAATTTCAGACCTGAAAACTTCCTTGTTGGAATGTGCCTATAGGAAAAAGACCGCCTCTGCAGAAGAAAATCAACGCCTTTTTCATCATTGCTATATTTGGCCCCGCCCACTGGCATGTTAGTGAGATGACGAGGAGAGAAGAGTGATACAGGATCACTGGAATAAAAATAACATTACCTTTAAAGGATCCTAATACTAGGAATGTGGTTATTTTCAACAACGTGAACGTCTCAGTTGAGGATTATTTGTTATTAAATAATTTACTTTGGTAAATCAGGCTATGCAAAAAGACTTTTACGATATGGACTTACATGGACATGTAAGGAACTGTGTTAAATCTAATGCCTGATCTGTGACTAGAGATTTCTGATATGTAATGATTCATGTACAGTCAGAAGTTATTTGTCTATGTGTCAGTAAATCAAATCAAACCAGTGACTAAATGGTCAACTTCACATTGTTTCTCATAGTTGGGTGAAAATAATCTGTTATTTAAACTGATTAATATATATATAGAAAGTGATCAAAGAACGCTTCCTTTACAATCACTGGAGCTGTCAATCAAACAGCGCGAGTTTATCGGTGACTGACTCTCACCAAAACTCCTGGTATAATCAACAAATCTTTTATTTACATTGTGTTGAAAGCATTCATTAGTGTGCAGAAATCGAGTTACAGTGATGAGATCACTGCATTCATGCGCTCAACATGTCTGTGATTGGCCAAAATGATCATCACTGCAACCTTTCATGCCACGATTTAAATATGATGCTATAGATCTAAATGTAATTCTATAATCAACACTTTCCATGATTAGTTAACCTTGAGAGGTGTATTAGTAAAAACGTGCTAAAAGTTTTCGAGAGAGTTCCACATGTAATATTTATATTTAATATGCAAAGATGTTAGCTAATCACAGCAGAGGGCGTTTCGCAGCTTCAAACAGAGCGTACAAATCAAAGGCTAAAATCAGGGAAGCAAAAATGCCTTTTATTTCTAAATTAATTTCAATTTTTGATGTAAAAAATAATAATTCATACTAACATTATAAATGCAGCCCAGGAAACATAATAAAACAAAACAAGGCAGTTCATGACCCCTTTTAAAATGTAAAACAATATAGTACATTAATATATCATTTTAAAAGCACATCTTAAATTGTATTTTTTTTAAAAGCATTTGCCTGTTGCTTCTCTTTGTCGAAATGCCAAATGCAACCAATCGGAAAACCAAATTCACTTTTAACTTAATTTTAATAGCCACCACATCTCCCATGTGCAACTCAAAAATAGACAGTCACTGAACAGTAGGAAAGACCAAACTAACTAATTCAATCTGGAACTTTATACCTTCAATAACCATCGATAAACACACAGACTGCATGTCTTGAGGCTTTAACAGTATGTATGTTAATGTTTATGGGTTCACTTTCATTGAAGTGCTTCACTGTTACCCAGATTTTTGCTTTGAAAAAGTGGAAGTGGAAATAATTTGTGGTAAATACTTAAATGCTACAAGTGTTATCTATTGAGCTTAAAGGATTAGTTCACTTTTTAAAAAACTTTTGCTGATAATTTACTCACCCCCATGTCATCCAAGATGTCCATGTCTTTCTTTCTTCAGTCGAAAAGAAATTAATGTTTTTGATGAAAACATTCCAGGATTTTTATCCATATAATGGACTTCAATGGTAGCCAAACGGTTCAAGGTCTAAATGACCGTTTCAGTTCAGCTTCAAAGGGCTTTAAACGATACCAGACGATGAATAAGAGTCTTATCTAGAGAAACGATCTGTCATTTAAAAAATAAATAAAAAAGTTAAAGTTTTATAAGCTCAAATGCTCGCCTTGCGAACTCTCCTGTTCGAACTCGTTCATCAAAATGAACGAATCTTTTTTCGAGTCATTGACTCGTTCATCAAAATGAACGAATCTTTTTTCGAGTCATTGACTCGAAAAAAGATTCGTTCATTTTGATGAACGAGTTCGAACAGGAGAGTTCGCAAGGCGAGCATTTGAGCTTATAAAACTTTAACTTTTTTATTTATTTTTGAAATGCTTTTGTGGATATTCAAACTATGGCAACAACCTCAATCGCCACGGCTCTCAACTTACCAACACTGCAAGAGTGTGAGGAACTCAAAGACCTTCCTGGAGTTAATGATCTGCTCCAGACTATATTCAACCCGAAACTGAGAGTATCTGAGAGTGAATGTGGAAGAGAAGAAAGAGAACAGAAGTCTTTTGTTATCTGGGATAAGGTAAGGGATTATTGCATAGAAATAAACAGGTATTTTCTTTATAACAAGCTGTCGTTCAAACGTACGGATTATTGGTTGAATGCTTGTGGTTCTTCCAAGCAATTTTAGCAAAATGCTCTGGTTTTGTGCCTGGAGATGACAGACAGCTTCTGTTACAAAAGGAACCAGACTGCAGTTTCCTGGATCAATCTAAAGTCCACATACAGTATCGCCCACATCTTACCGTACTTCTCCATGTGTTCTCTACCAGCGTTGCCGAACATCTGAGGTGCAGCTGGTGCTGCCGCCATCCCATAACGGTTGATCATCACCTCCATGTGCTTGTCTATAGGGTTGGTTCTGTCCATGTACTGCAAACCCATGAGATGATGTGAGACGCTTCATCACTGGTATTATAAAAGAGCTGTGAGCCGTACTGTACCTTTGAGGATAGTGAACCTCTTTCCATCTTCTCAAAGCCCAAGGCAAGAACACAATCAGCCAAACCTGAGTGCAATAGTTTTTTTTATTATATACATGATAGTGTTATATGAGATATAAAAGCTGTTCTTTTGGACTTTTCGATTCATTGAAGTAGTATCACAGTTTCCAGAAAAATATTAAAGCAGTACAACTGTTTTCAAAATAATGAAAAATCACTGAAGCAAATCATCATATTAGAACGATTAGAATGAAAATTGAGCTTTGCATCACAGGAATAAATTACACTTTAAAATATATTCAAATAAAAAAGTTAATAATATTTCACAATATTACTGTTTTTACAGTTACTTATTTGATCGTATAAATGCAGCCTCGTGAGCATAAGAGACTTCTTTCAAAAACACTTTGACAAAATTTTGGCTGGTAGTCTAGTAAAATAGAAACAGTGATTTTAAATTGTAACAATATTTCAAAATATTCCAGTTTCACCGTATTTTTCATTAAATAAATGCAGCAAAAAAACAACAACAACAACACTTTTTGGTTTTTGAAATAATCTCCAATATTTAACGTACGATTCGATTGACAGCGGTGGTCCTAGAGGCAAAGTTGCTCAGAATGAGGAATTCTACCGGTAGCGTCTGCATAAGGTCACTGATGATCGTTTGAGGCTTAATCCCAGATATGCTTTTAGCCTTTTGACATTTGCATATAATCCATAGTCACATAAGTTGCCTGGCAGATGCCAAACAGGAACACCTCGAAGCTCCTACGTGACTTCAAAAGATCTTAATCACATCAGAACAACTCCCCTACGGCAGGCACGAAAGGCCATGTGACAAAAGGACATTGGGAAAACGCACCCAATATACATAGACACAGACATTCTCTTCATTTAACTCATAATTAAGTCATCCGGAAATGTATATGATATATTCCTGTGTGTATGTACAGTATGTCCCCACATTATATTAGCCTAGTTACGACTTTTTAGTTGTGTTAGTTAAACTCAAAGTGCTTATATTCAGGTGTAAGAATGTATCTCTACTTTATTATATTTCAGCCATATCTTTCTTGGTATCAAAATGAACCTCTCTTTATTTCCTAATCAATTGTGCACATTATATGGTTATGAGATGCATCATATTATTTTTACCATGCTTTAAGTTTGGGGTAAAAACTACCAATTGTGACACCATCGCCTCCACACGCCTCCATTCTTGCTTGGCACCAAATATCAATGCAAGTATTGCCTATCGATATTTAGATGCGTTTAAGATAGTTTGCCCCTGCTTTAAGGTGATTTGATTCTCTGCTGGCTCTCAAGGACAACTGTTTGTAAATATGCCATTCTTTGATATTCTCTCTCTTTCTTTCTTTACTTTTCGTTATTCTGTATGTATTCTGTGCTTAAGTTAAGTCATATGTATTCATAATTTCATTATTAAAAAACATTATATCCACACTTGATTGTCTCGCATTTGTCTTTGTACTGTTGGTATGATATAAAACAGGAAAGTTATTCTTCATGGAAACTACATTGTACTGTAGTTTCGGTGGACGAAATTAATTCATTCTAAAAGATGATCTAGATATATATATATATAGAAAATAATTATAATCCGTTGTAATTAATTACACACATACACACATATACATATATATTGGGGCATAGTGAGAGGTAGGGTATCACCAAAGTGTGGGTTACTTCACAAATCAAGTCCAGGCAGAGATCAAGTCACTGGTTTCATTTTAATAATCAATTCAAAACTTTTTAACCAAAACACTCTTCCAGCTTCTCTTTATGCTCTCTAACAAAAAACAGCCAGTCTCTCTGTTCTCGGCTCATTAACAGCTTTTCTCCTACACTCCCAACAGCTGTGTCCCCACCGCTGAGGAACCTGGCAACTGTAGTCCGGGACCAGGTGGCCATCTTGGTTTGTAGTCCCTATTGCTGCAACCACCTAAATGGCACATACCCTGCCTCTATGACATACCCTCTCACGATGCCACAATGTATACACAAATAGCCTACATGGGCTATGTATTTCCCTTTGTGATTGATTTAGATATTCATAATTGATCATATAATTGGCCCAGCGAGTTTCGTTCCGATCGGCCTCTGTGAACCATGTCTGCTCGAACTTCACTGGCCGCATCCCGTCACGGAGGTGAATCGAAACTTCGACAAATATTGACAATCAGACTCTAGAGAATCTTTCTGCACTGGTTAGGGTTTGATCAGGCGAAAAAGTTCGCAAAAGTACGTTTTTCGAAAAAAATCCAAAATACCCGAAAATTGGAAATTCTAACAATTACAATAGGGTTTCAGCGCTACGCGGTTGAACCCCTGATAAAAACTTTACTGAACTATAGTACAGTATAGGCACTACTGTGAACATCTCACCTCCCTGAATGAGCTGGCGTGTCACAAACAGCGCTGTGGAGCCGGTGCAGCCATAATTGTTGACATTAATTATTGGGATCCCTGACAGACCCAGACTGTGATAAATAGCCCTTTGGCCACATGTCGAGTCACCTGGAGAAATACAGAAAAACCCACATTAATCCAACACTGATATCAGATAACATACTGTGATACATACATACAAGTCAATGTCTAAGGCATTAAAACCATGTTGACATGTTATAGAAATATACAATATCCATTACAGACTTAAGAATGACGTACCGTACACGTAGCCTACACATGCTTGCTGGATAGCAGTGTAGTTTATTCCAGCATCCGTCAGCGCTCTCTCCCCTGTGCCACAACAGAAATGATTCAAGAACAAAACATTCATATTTCTACAGTACAACGAGCTTCATCAACTGCACCTGCTTCTTTGGCCATGTCTGGGTAATCGATGTCTCTCGCACCCGGCTTTTCAAACTGAAAAACAGGACAAAAAAAAGTGAAGTACTTGAAGCTATGTAGTTTAAATACTGTAGTCAACATTTGAAGAGGATTAAAACCTTTCATCAAAGTTATACATGAATTTTGAACAATACCGGTTCTTGTCTTAGTACAACTTTGATTAAATTTTTTGATCCGCTTCAAATGTTGACTATTGTAGTTGCCTGGAATTTGAATAGTGTATATTCTGGATATTAGAATCTCTGAGAGGTGACTGAAGCTGATGTCAGGAATGCAGTAACCGTGTTTGCTAATTTAGCCCAGCTTGCCGAAATGATGAAAGGTCTTCAACATACATACAAAGGTTGTCAATACATACATCTGTTTTTCTAGGGTACCCTGACGACTGTAAGTCACAGGGGTCATTGAAGTCTATAGTTTAAGGGAACCTTTCTCAGTTAAAGCCTTACTTTCCAGTTAGACTAAAGTCTAGCTATCCTTGAGAGAAAGAACGCTTTATCTTGATGTTTTGAGAGGACTCTCCTGTTAATAGTTAGAGTCTGGCCAAATCCAACCTTGGAAAAGCGGTGTGTCGGTGTGTGTGTTAGTCTTCTTGGTTGCTGGTTAAGGAACCACTGGCATTATGGGAGATTGACTGAGTTGTTGTTCTGGACATGTTGGCGCCCAGCAACCCAAATCTGCGACCTGCAAGGTCACGACGTGCCTAAACTTCAGGGTCTGTGTGTCAGCTGCATAATCTATGGAGAGATGCTCCAGTCTATCTGTATATGTGTGGAAAATCACAACGTTTATCTGTTTCTTAGCCAATGAGAATCATTCAACCTGGTCGAAGCAAGGACCTAGCTTAGATGTAAATTTAATTAATGTAAAAATAAATCAATAAATCAATAAATCCAGCATAAATCTGAAAATTTCCACACATAAATGAAGGCCTGGTACTACAGTACAAATGCAACGTGGAACAGCTCGTTGCTGAATTTTTTTGTTGGATTTATTTACTTTTTTACAATTAATTTCTTATTCCAAAGTTAATTGTTTTTATACATTTGGATTATTGAAATAAATAATGTGATTACAATAGAGTCACACGCACAGAATCTCGGATAAGAAACTTTGCATAACTCATTTTTATTGGAGGTAAACATTAGGAATACTAAACCTCGCAAATAAGGGTAACGTTGTTAAACATAAGACATCGAATATATTTACATCTGATTGGCCTTATATCCGCGATCTGTTATTTACTGTAAAACGAGGCTGAATCCAGCTACTTTTTCGTTTGTTACAAGCTTATTGATGCAGCCTAGCTTGCTCGTACAGTAAGTGTGGTCTTAACTGTGGTCAAGTTACGGGCAAATCGTAGGAGACTTACCTTTGTCATTCCCACTCCGATAACAAAAACCCTGTTTCTTGCTGCAGCCATCTTTAAGTTTGCGTTGAGACAGCTCAACTGGACTTACAGCATGTAACTTCTTCTTTCTTTCTTTTTATTGAGACAACGGCTTTCCCTGTTCTCACTGTAGCCCCGTTCAAGCCCCGTAACCGTTCACACTACACGCGACCAAGCGACGCGATACCATTCATTTCAATGGTGAGCAGGCGACATCCGGCGACACGCGCGACAGCGACCGTTGGCGACTAGATGGGGCGTGTCTGGCGACGCGACAAAGTTGAGAAATTTTTAACTTTATGCAAATGAAGAGCGATTTTCGCGAGCGACAACCAATAGGAGTAAAGTCAGTGGATTGCGTCACCCTTCAGTGCTGAGTCTGACCGAGGCAAGTTGAACGAGAAGCTAATTTTAGCAGTCAGAAACTGTCCTATAATTTATGATATATCTCCGTGTACATACAGTGGTATTCACCGTGCTCACTCCGTGCCTGAATGGTTTCGGAAACCCAGACAGACCGGTATTTGCCCGTTTGCTGCAGTTAAATAGCCGCGATGGCAAAGAGCACTCACTGTTTCTCGTTCATCTTTAATATTATGCATTTTATGTACTGATTTTTAGCGTCAAGAAAGCTGATTCGCTGTCTTTTGGATGTCATACTAGTCAACCAGTAAGTTAGTGGGAACGCCCATTAGCGACCTCATCGCCAGCGACAGGCGACTTGCAGCGACAAAGTCGCGTGTAGTGTGAACGGGGCTTCACACCGCCAGCGACACGCAGCGACAAAGCGACATGATCCCATTCATTTCAATGGAGCGCTGGCGACATCCGGCGACACGAGCGACAGCGACCGTTGGCGACAGAATGTGGGCGTGTCAAGCGACAAGAGACAAGCGACAAAAGTTGAGAAATTTCAACTTTATGCAAATGTGAAGCGATTTTCGCGAGCGACAACACAAGTAATAGCAAGTGTAATACACGTCAGCAGCGAAGCGGCGACTGTTGCATAAGCATAATACATAAATCAAACATTCATGCACAACCTGAAGGCTCAGCTCACCGAAAGCACTTGAGACGCAACAGAAGGTACATCCAATTTATAAAATCTGGCGAATGTATTCTGAGAAGACCAGCCAGCAGCGAGACACAAGTCCCTTATAGACATACCTCTGGACCAGGCCCACGAAGAGACAATCGCCCTCGTCGAATGAGCCTTAATGTTGAGGGGACAGACCACCCCCTGGCAATCATAAGCCAAGGCAATAGCATCCACAATCCAGTGAGCAAGCCTCTGTTTCGAAACTCCACGTCCCTTGTTGCAACCGCCAAAGCATACAAATAGCTGATCCGATTGACGAAAAGCGGCCGAGCGAGTCATATACATCCGTAAAGCCCTGACTGGGCAAACAGCGCTCTGAGCATCGGTATCACGCGAGACTGATAACTCAGAAGACAATGCAGGCAGTAAAACAACCTGCGCTTTGAACGGAGTATTGAGTGACTTCGGAACGTACCCCTGTCTTGGCCGAAGAGTGGCATTACAATCTCCTGGTCCAAAACGAATGCAGTCCTCGTGAACCGAGAACGCTTGCAGGTCCCCCACACGTTTCGCTGAAGCAAGAGCGAGAAGCAAAGCAGTTTTCAGGGAAAGCTCCTTGATCGCAATCGAAGCCAGTGGCTCAAACGGTGGAAGAGACAGAGCCCTCAACACTAGGGCTAAATCCCACGGCGGCACAGAAGGCGGCCGTGACGGACATAATCTCCTAGCTCCCCTGAGAAAACTGATCACCAATGCATGTTTACCGATCGACTGTCCTCCGATCGGGGGGCGAAACGCAGAAATAGCAGCCACATACACCTTCAGAGTGGACGGTAAACTCCCATTATCCATCCTGTGCTGAAGGAAGCGTAGAATATCCGACACGGCGCAATTACCCGGGTCAATACTGATATCCTGGCACCATTTAGAGAAAACTTCCCATTTCAATCTGTATAAACGCCTAGTGGATGGGGCGCGCGCCTCAGCGATAGTGCTCATCGCTCGAGAGTGCAGAGCGTCCCGCTCATTCAGAGTCCCTGCAGCGGCCATACATGAAGGTTCCACAGCCCGGGGTTGGGGTGCCATACCGTGCCGTTCGCCTGCGATAACAGGTCTCTCCTGAGCGGAATTTCCCACGGGGAGTCCACCAGTAATTCCATCATGTCCGCGAACCAGGGCTGATTCGGCCAGTTCGGGGCTACGAGAATCACAGACGCTTTCTCCTCCCTGATTTTGCATAACACTGTGGGCAGAATCTTCACCGGAGGAAAGGCGTAAAGCCTGGCTCTCGGCCAGCGCGAAGTCAAGGCGTCGTTCGTCCGTCCCAAGGGGGAACGAGACAGCGAGAAGAACGCCTGGCAGTGCGCGTTCTCGCTCGAGGCGAACAGATCGACCTCCGCCCTCCCGAACCGATCCCAGATCATCTGCACCGATCCCGGGTGAAGCCTCCACTCTCCATGAGGAATCCCATTCCTTGAGAGCATATCCGCCCCGCGATTCAAAACACCGGGAATCTGCGCTGCTCTCACGGATAGAAAATGCCGGTCTGCCCACAGCAGGAGACTTGCCGCCTGCTCGAATAAGAGTCTGGAGCGCACGCCTCCCTGGCGATTTATGTATGAGACCACCGACGTGTTGTCGGTCCGAATCAGTACATGCTGACGCTCTAACTGTGACCGGAAGGCTTCGAGGGCTAAGGATACCGCCATCCATTCCAAGCGGTTTATATGCCACGTTCGCTGCGACTCCGTCCATAAGCCTGAGGCAGTCGCGCCCATGCACACTGCTCCCCAGCCTGAGGTTGATGCATCCGTCAAGACTGCGGTGCGATGCGCCACGGTGCCCATCGGAACCCCTGAACTGAATAACGCTGGGTTTTTCCACGGTACCAAAGTGCGAATGCAGCTGCGGGTGACCGTGATGCGCCTGAGTCCGGACGACCACGCCCCCCGAGGGACTCGGAGCTTCAACCAGATTTGAAGAGGGCGCATATGCAACAGCCCCAGATGACACACTGGGGAGGCTGCCGCCAACAGACCTAACAGCCTCTGAAATTCCTTTAGTGGCACAGACCTGCCCGGTCTGAAACGGTCCAGAGACAATGTCAGAGACCTTATGCGCTCTTGAGAGAGATGGGCTCGCATCGTTATAGAGTTCAAGCACACTCCCAGAAATGTTGTGGTCTGACTCGGTGTGAACACGCTTTTCTGTTCGTTTACACGCATCCCCAGCGAGTCCAGGTGACGAAGTAGTATTTCCACATGACCGATTAGCACCTCTCGCGAGTGGGCTAGAATCAACCAATCGTCCAGATCATTTAGGATGCGCATTCCGCTCGACCTGAGGGGAGAAAGCGCCGCGTCCACACACTTCGAAAAGGTGCGGGGGGCCAGAGCCAGTCCGAACGGGAGTACTGAGTACTGATAAGCTGTGCCCTCGAACGCGAACCTCAGAAAGCGCCTGTGACGCGCTGCTATCTGGATATGAAAGTACGCGTCCTTTAAATCCACTGAAGCGAACCAATCCCCGGGACGAACTTGCGCCAGAATCTGCTTCAAAGTTGTCATTTTGAACGCGCGCTTGTGAAGTGCTCGGTTTATGGGTCTCAGGTCCAGGATCGGACGGAGACCCCCCCCTCTCTTGGGTACCACAAAGTAGCGGCTGTAGAAACCGCTCTCCCTCTCGATCGGGGGAACCGGTTCTATCGCTCCTTTCTCGAGCAGACTGAGAACTTCCTGTCTCAGAACGGGAACGTTTTGGGGCAAAGTTAATGACGGGATCACGCCGTTGAAACGGGGTGGTCTGCGTCTGAACTGAAGCGAATACCCGTGTCGAATTAAGCCCAACACCCACGGTGAAACGCCTGGAATTGATTCCCACGCACCTAGAAAATGACTCAGAGTGCGAGCTCGAACTGCGGCCATAGCCGCCCCCAGTGTAGTGTTTAGACTGGAGCCGCACTCCCGCGAGGCTGATAGCCCTGTTGGGAGTGCGGCTCGCAGTGGGCTGAGTGTAGTGCTGGCGATCTCGTGCCCATGAGATGCCATTATAGTCATCGAGTGTGACCCTGCGCTGTCTCGTGAAAGGGCGGGTGACACAATGTGAGGTGTAAGAGGAAGAAAAAGCTCTTTTTGTGAAGGGATACATGCTTTTATTAATTTTTTGTTTGAACAAACAACATTCACACATATGCCGTCGTCGCTCGACTGAACATGAGGGACACGATGCATAAGAACACGGGGCTTGGAGTCCGGTCCTCCTTCGCGCTCTCTCTTCCTCTTGGCCGCTCCGTCAGGAAGAAGGCTTTGACGCGGAGGGGGGCGCGCTGACCTTCCCTCGGCGCGGGCTCCTTCTCCGGCCCTGGCTCTTTCTCCCGGGTCCCTGCCACTGCCTGCCCCGGGAAGCGCGAGCATCCGGCTCGGTGCGCGGCGCAGCCGATTGTCTCACCGAGCTCTGGGGCTGGCCCCGGCTAGCCGATGACGAGCGCGAACGCTGACGAGCTGGGGGCGCTCGACGCGGGATCACGTGGCTCATAGCTTTAGCGCGTTTCTGGGTCTCCGAGAAACGCTCCGTGACAGCCTCCACCGCGTTCCCAAAGAGACCGGCTGGGGTGATGGGAGCATTAAGCAGGGTTTTCCGGTCGGAATCCTTGACATCAGACAGTGTCAGCCACAGGTGCCTGTGGAGAACGACCAGAAAACCCATGGAGCGACCGATGGCTTGCGCTGAGCGTTTAGTGGCCATCAGTGCAAGGTCCGACGCTGAGAGGGACATGGCGTCCTCTTCCTCGCTAGCTCTAAAGGAGATGAAATCTGCGACGTCGCGGGGGGGGCGGAAGCTAGCGTCCGAGAAGCTGACGGCGTCGAGCTCCCTTTCCCTGGGGGTGGATGGGCCCACCAGCGGCTCGCTGGCGGCAGTGGGCCCAATCCCTGCAGCTGCTCGAGCCGTTTCTCTCCTGGCCTTAAGGGCGCACACTGGCATGTCCGCGCAGTGGGCGCACACGAGGTCGTCCGACAGGGC